TTGGTTCATTCCTGCCTGTGCTCCTAAGGTCAAACGCAGTCTTTGTCCATGATATGCCTTGAGTCTTAAAGCGGCCCCAAGTTTCAGGGGGCCGGATATGAAAAATATGTGGAATTTGCCAACATCTGACAATACTTAGTCGGCAATATATCTCCTGTCTGATAGAAAAATGTGTTCTGAATTGCAGATATGCTCTCTTTTCTGGCATACCTTTTTAATTTGACTTTGAGGGAAAACAAGCCAGGCTCCCAGATAGACAAGGAGAGATATGACTGCTGAACGTTGTGTAGGCCTTTGCGGATGGGGCAAAGAGGACTCCAGCAGCTTGGCTTAGAAGACGAACACAAACGCTTGAGAACATAATACTTGACAACGAGCCCAGAGTGTCTGGTAGGGGGCCTGCAGAGAAAAGTGTGCCGTGTTTGGGAAGCAACAGAAATGCTGTGATGCTGATTCTTAGCTGGAATTTTGGAAACCTGTGATCCTAATTTATGCCCCTTACTTTCATTTAAAAACAATCTACTTATAAAACAATCTAGTATTAGTAATCTGTTAGCGCCACAAAAAACCACAAAAGTCTTATTTTTGGAAAGCCAACAACTTGTAAACACAAGTTTTATTTCAAGGATTCAGTTGAAGTTATTCAAACAAACAAATAAAACCCCACATTACAAGGTACAGACCAACATACACTAAAGTCATAGTCATTACTTTTTAGTACATATAACATTTTGTTATTACACACACACACACACACACACACACACACACACACACACACACACACACACACACACAGGGTTCAGTATCTTGCCAGCAGACACGCATATTAGAGAAGCCAGGGACTGAACCACCAACCTTCACATTAGTGGTCTTGCACTGCAACCTAACAGTCATGCCACCCCAGAATGAACTCTTGCTTTACAAGTATTTATAATGGAATAATAGCAGTACTTTATTTAGTTCACATAAGACTACTCTAAATTTAAAGCTAAAGCATCATACATGAACACATAACAATGATGAAATCATCAGTGCACTTCACCAAAAATTCAGGGAATTGTATGGCATGAAAGCATGGCAGGTAAGAGTTATTACAGCGGTGAAAAACGAGCTAGACAACATCACACACAGAAACCCCTCCACAGCGGACGTTTGCACCTCATGTAGTACAACAGAACAGCATTACATGTGTTTCTTCTTCTGCTTACTGCTCCCTGCTCACTCAAGAGTATCTAGCACCAGACCGGCTCTGACAATGCACAGCTCTGCTCGCAGCCGTGTGCGCACGCCTAGCTGGCTGCAGTTCGCATTGTACTTTATGCTGAGATGAGGAACCTAATGCGCATGTTTGTGCGTGTTTATTATTCCGTCTTGTGCATGTGTGTCTCTGCGCATCTGTTGGACATAGCAGGTTAATGCTGGCTGACACATGCGGTTCACTGATCTCCACGAGGAGTCGGGACTCGCAGCAAAACCTTCATACGCAGGTATCCATGGCAACCACAAAAATTATATTTCCTTCTTCCCCCGGCAAGCTGGAGATTCCGAGATGCTGAAATGCACAAATACATTGTCATTACCTGGCTGCCTCATACTTAACAGGGCTAGGCTTTTTCTGCCTGCTGTTGTCTCATTGTTCAGTGTTGCCTACACATGTAATTTAGAAATTCCTCTTGTTACCTTCCCCCCAGACAGAAACTCCATACTATCTTTACATGATTTCTCTTTCCCCACATCAGACTCCTTTCCAGGAAAATGCTTATACTGTTGTGTTTTTGCATATTTTCCTCTTTAACTAGGCTCAACATCTAGCCCAGTGATTTTAAATATCTAGTTAGGCTTGCAGGACATGATCAGATATTCATGCTGTTTTTGCACCATGTGTTTGGTGGTTCCTATTTAGGGCCTTGAGTATTAAATTTGATTGACATTTGAGGGGAAAGCTCTTTTTTCACCTCACCATGTTGTGTTATTGCTGACAGCTAACATCTGCAACTAAAACAAAAAACTAAAGAGGATATTAATGGAAAAACATGTATAGTCTTAGTTTTAACAATCTCTACCAGAGATCAATCAAGTCTAAACATTATATCCATCTTATAATTAAAGGAATCGTTTTCAGTCCAACCTCAAAACCACACCACATACTCAACATCCTGCTGTAGAATTCCTTTTAAAAAGAGAAATATTGCACCAATAGGTGATCTAGTACTCGAAGTAAGCACATTCCCACTTTTTCATCCCTTTGAGGGGAAATTGGAATAAGCACAATGTGTCCTGCACCAAATTCCTGAAGAAGCAGAGGTTCAATCACATTTGCAGAAGTTATCGAGACTTCCAAAGAGCTCAGCTGGTGCCTTAAGCCACAGGAAATTCACTGGGACATCTGGAGGGATGTGTGCAGATTATTGCCCATTTAGTCTGTTCTAGACATCAGTAGAAGGACAGAGATGGCCCAAGCACGCATGCACAGCCTAGAAGATGTATATACACACACACACACACGCACACAAACATAAAAACGGGCTTGGTTTTGAAAGATGCTACCGCAGGCACACAACACACCAGAGTATAATCCCCCATTATGAGACCCTCAGGTCATTTGTCCAGATCTCTGCTACACCTGTCCCAGCATCCAATCACAGGACAGGTACGGTAAGGTTGCTTTGATCTTTTTTTAAGTAAGTGGATGTAAAATATAATCCAGAAAATTCGAAATACTTGGTTGTTATATTTGAATCTCAAATATAAGTCTCTGATCGTTTTAAACCACTGCAGTTTAATATTTGTCCTTCAAAAGAAAAGAAAGAAAATACTGGGCTTGTAATGTATGCCAGAGCACAATTAGCTTGGAGAATATTTGAAAAAATATATTAATTACAGTATGAGCACAAAATGTCCAACTTTAAAAAAAGAAGAAGGTAGATTAAAAAAAAAAAATAGATACGCAGTATATCAAAGCATGTAATATTGAGTTTACAAGAATACACCCACCACATCCCTGACTGTCTGCATGCATGCTCTGAGCGAGATGCGCATTTCTGATGCAGTGGAGGAGGATACAGCTTTTTAAAGTAATAAAGTAGCACAACCTTTATCGACATGCATCATAAGATAGAACACTTTTTTGTGTATTTTCTTGATCTTTGCATTTGCTCTTCTGTGCAGTAAGTATTGGTTTGTACATATACGTCATATATACATATATATATATATATATAAAACCCAAATTATCCTGGGTCTTCAGAACCAAAAACAAAAGGCCAATTTTATAAATATATATATATTCCCAAACCAGAGCCGCCTCGTCTTTCTTTAGGTGTGAAATGCAACCCGACAAAACCTCAACACCATGATAAAAGCTCAGGAAATTACTTCCTTATTTTAGGTGTGATTGATTGTCCCCCTGACCTGTTAGACTGAAGAGGTGGTTAAGAAGAAGAGGCAGACTAAGATAATTGGGCCCGGTGGTATCCAAAGCCCGGCAGGTGTTGAAAGAACTCTCATAATACAGGTACCTGCAGCGGCTGCAGCCCTGAACTTCAGCACACCTAGGATTTCACTACCTTGGAGGAATTTTGCTGTTTTATGTTTGGCATGTCTTTTATTGAATAGATGAAATATGAGATACTTGTAACTCCTATTGACATATTGGACATGCCACGAGAAAAAAAACAACAACAAATAAAAAAAACAACACAGGTGTCAAAAATCAAATAAATGCTGCAGCTTTGTTTCATCTTTTCTTGGCATGAAAATAATGTCATTCACTCTTTAAAAGCATTGTCAGTTGTTGGAAATATCTCCCAATACAAGAGGGATGTAATTCCCTTACCTGTTGAAAAGCAGGTAAAAGCTTTCACCAGCAGCAGCAGAGGGATCAGAGATGGAATTCAGCTGAAGTGAAAAAGCACATGTGTTTTTACTCTTTAATTTAATTAGCAATTCAGAGGGCTCGATGAGTCCTTCTAGCCATTTCAAATGAAGAGGTAAAAGCCAGACATAAGCTTAAATGATAACATTCTTTCTCAGAGAAAAATATGCATGTACTACCCTTATTATTATCTGCAAGCCAAGGGCTCTGTTCCAATTAAAGAATACCACAGATGGACCATTCAACAAGCATGCACACAAACGGACCTACAATAGGTAAAGTAAAGTACCCAGTATTACAGAGCCCAGAGAAGAGCTTTTTACTTTAAAAACTATTTAATCAGGAAAATCAACGCCTCACATCAAAGAAATGGAGATGAGGGACAGGCGGATGAAGAGGCTCATCAAAGGAGAAGATCTAGTTAGGGATTCAACGCCCTAATTCCCTTTCTCTTAAAACCATCGTCAGAGGGGGCACAGGGCCAATTTGCTCCCTAAATGGCTGCGTGTGAATGTGCAGATTGCTTTGCATAGCCGCTGGGAATCTGGGCTTCTTCCTCTTTTTCTTCTCCACATGGAGCCTGTGAATTAGAAGAGATCCAAAGACAGATAGGCTTAACTGAGCCCAAGCTACCTTCCGTAAGTCCAGAGCCCTGTTCCAACTTCCAACTAATGCAATCCATGGCCTAACTCAATTAATAGACTTTAATACAGTGTTTCTTCTTTATCTTTTCACTTTCCTGGGGATTGGGGGACTTCAATTAGAGTTGTAGAGTAATGTCAGTGAAAAGGTTGGGATTTTAAGTATGTCTGAATGTAAAGACAATGACCCGGTGTCCCAGTGGCATTAAGGTTGATCATATATGCATCCTTAATCTCAAACATCTCCTTAATCTCACTTCCTGGGACTTGCTGCACATTAATGTAATGCAGTGCATAAAATATTGACAACTCTCTCCTGTCCCTGACTTTATATGCATTAGTGTTGGATTCATTAGTCAAAATGTCCTTGATGTAAAGGAGGACTTTCAAGTATCCATGTGATGAGCCCTGTGTTTTTTACATAATGTCAAACTAATCATGTAGAACGTACCCCCCCCCCCC